TTTTCACACAATATTGCTATTAAGGAAAAACAAATTCCAAATATCCATCTGATTAATAGTGAAACTGAGACAGAAAATGGGATTTTATCAGTATGCCTTCTATCTCTCTACCAAATTCCACTCAGAAATTAATCAAAAGGAAGAGCCTGGGTGGCTCAGTCAGTTAAGTGTCCAACTCTTGATTTCAGTTCAGGTCATGATCTTGTTGGTGGTGAGTTCAAGCCCAGCACCAGGCTCTGCACTGACAGCATGGAGCCTGCTTAGGATTGTGTCTCTTCTTCTCTTTCTGTTCCTCTCCTGCTCTCTCTCTCTCTGTCTCTCAAATAAATAAATAAACTTAAAAAAAGAAATTAGTCAAAAGGCTAAAAAAAAAATTCTATACATAATTTGTTTTTTTTCTTTTTATTTAAAATCTTCGTGAATTGAGAAAAAAAAAAAAAAAACATGTGAAACCAAAAAGGTAAATATCAACTATCTTGAAAAGACCAGAAGAAAGTGAAGATGCAAGACTGTCATGAGGGGGAATACCAGAAACATGAAAATGAGCAAGAAGATACAGACAGCCGGTCATAACATTCACCATGAGTGCCTTTCTCAGTTCCCCCAAAATGATCCTACTGCAACTCTGCCTTGTCCCAAGTTCCTGAGTCAACAGGGAATAAACTAAGGAGTGAATGAATGGCCTCAGTCTAGGAACTTCTTGGCTAATTTAGAGTACCCATCTCTCAAGTACCAGGTAGCCAATCAAACCCAAGACCTCCAGAGATGATCCCTAGAGGACCACAATGACTATAATTCACAGCTCAACCTCCCCAATGTTGGGCAACCAGGCTTCTGCTATGATCTCTTCCCAAAATCTCTCTAATAACAGTCCTGCTATCCTACCTTGATTATGCCAAGCTCTTCCTGCATTGGATAACTGCCTATTATTAAAGTCTGTGGCTAGAGTTCTGCCATCAAGAGATCTCCACTAAATCATACTTCCAGTGTAATGTGTAGAGTATTACAGTCCACAGGGAAGGAGCCAATAGTCAAGTTTATTGGATCTTTAGTCACAGACCATGTTCCTACCCAGGCCTTAGAAATTATATGATTTAAGGAGAGAAATGATTGGTTTAATAACCCAATAAACTCTTATAAATGCTACTCATTCTTTTATTCCTTCCTGCTAAGTTCATGATGAAGAAACTAATTTTTTCTTTAATCTTTGATATTGTCCTAATTCTTGCAGTTATTTGAAAGTCCTCAAGTTTATGCCATTTAAAATGTAATAATTTCCATTTAAAAAATTAAGTTTTTGCAGATACATCTGACATTTGGAGAACAGCAAAATGCAGCATTTTTAATGTTCACATTTTCTACAGTGAAATTTCAACTTATAAAGTATACCAATGGTGAAAAAATGATATTATGTATAACACTATGAAATACCGAACTAATGTAGGTAGGATTTTTCAAAAAATTAGTAATGTACTAAAATTTACTCACTCTGTTTAATAGAGGGGGACTGACTAGAGAAATTCTGCCTCATCCAAATGACAGAATTTCATGCAAATGTTAAAAATTGTGTTACAGGTGAATACTTAATTGATTCTGTAATTAAATGATTACTAAAAAAAATAGTATGTTCAGGATCTATCAGGTTTTTTAAAAAGCAACTTATAAAATACAAAGTTTGATCTCAATTTATATATGCCACATACCTACTCATATTACATCCATGTACGATATATTCTGCAAAAAACAAAAAACAAAAAAAGCAGAAGTCCCCAAATGCTAATCAATTATCTCTGAAAAGTAAAACTATAGTTTTTCTTTTTTGTATTTCATTTATTTTCCATTTTTCCCATTATAAACATAGATTTTATTTTTACTCATGAAAAAAATATTAAAATTTTGTTTAAAATGTAAAATTTTATAATTTTAAAAAGCATAATTTTTATAATTTAGAAGTTTCTAAAAGAATGTATACATACATAAAGTATGACATCCTAATCTTGCCTGACAGGCATTATCCATTTGTTGTTACAAAGAGGTTGTCCCTCCCAGCTTCCCAGAGATGTGCTGTGTTGTACTGCTGCGCATCCCACATTTCTCCCTGGCCAAAACTGTTGCTGTTATATCACCCATTGCCATCCCAGGTATAATCATCATGGCCAGTTGAGGATCAACATATATGATATATATATATATCCTCTCTATATAGGCCTAGGATCCCCTCCTTTTTTTTTAATGCTCCTTTATATTTTATTTACATTAGCCATAAAGAGAATACAGCAAATACTGGAGAAGGGATTTTTAATAATTTTTGGATGTAAAGCTTAACACTTAAAATTATGCTTGCTTCCCCCACCCACACCAACTCAACATGCAGGTATCATTTATTTCATATATGCTGATCCTAGTAGTGGAATTACTGGATCATATGGTATTTCTATGTTTAATTTTCTGAGGAACCTCCATACTGTTTTCTACAGTGGTCACACCAATTTATATTCCCACCAACAGTGCATTAATGGCTCCCTTTTCTCCATATCCTCACCAACACATGGACGCTAGCCATTCTGACTGGTGTGAGGGGATATCTCATTGTGGTTTTAATTTGTATTTCCTTGTTAGTGATGTTGAGTATCTTCATGTATCTGTTGGCCATCTGTATGTCTTCTCTGGAAAAATGTCTATTCAGATAGTTTGCCCATTTTTTTTTTAAGTTTATTTAGAGAGAGAGAGAGAGTAGGGGGAGGGCAAAGAGAGAGGGAGAGGGAAAATCCCAAGGAGGCTCCAGGCTGTCAGAGCACAGCCCGACATGGGGCTTGATCTCACAAACCATGAGATCATAACCTGAGATGAAATCCAGTCAGACGCTTAACTGACTGAGCCACCCAGGCGCCCCAGTCTGCCTATTTTTCAGATTGTTTGATTTTTGTTGTTGTTGTTAAGTTGTATAAGTTCTTTATATATTTTGGATATTAATGCCTTAGCAGATGTATCATTTGCAAATATCTCTCCCATTCACTAGGTTGCCTTTTTGTTTTCTTGCAAGTTTCATTTGCTGTACAAAACCTTTTTATTCGGGTGTAGTCCCAATAGCTTATTTTTGCTTTTGTCTTCCTTGCCTGAGGAGATATATCCATAAATATATTGTTGAGGCTGATGCCCAAGAGATTACTGCCTATGTTTTCTTCCAAGAGTTATGGTTTTAGGTCTCACATTTAGGTCTTTAACCCATTTTGAGTTTATTTTTGTACATGGTGTAAGAAAGTGGCCCAGTTTCATTCTTCTGCATGGAGCCGTCCAGTTTTGATGCCAATAATGTTTTATCTCTTCTGCCACCCACGTCCCTCAGGTTCCTTATTGCTAAATTCCAAAGCAATGCCTCAGAAAATACTTCATAAAATTCAGAAGATGTAGGGAACCAATGCCTTGTTAACAATAATATTTACTCCCAATAATACTATTATACCTATACAATGGAATATTATTGGGGAATAAAAAGTAATAAAATACTGATATGTGCTACATGGACCAAACTTGAAAACATGATGCTAAGTGAAAGAAGCCAGTCACAAAAGACCACATATTATATGATTCCATTTATATGAAATTACAGAATAAACAAATTTAGAGAGACAGAGAGTAGATCATTGGTTGTTTAGGGCCAGGAAAGGGAGGGGACAATGGGAATTTACTGCTAATAGGCAAAGGGTTTCTTTTAGGGAGCATAAACATATCCTAAAATTAGATTGTGATGATTATACAGCTCTAGGAGTATAAAAAATATTGAACTGTATAATTTAAGTTGGTGAGTTATGTGAATTATTTATCCATAAATCTATTTTTAAAAATATTATTATAACTGTATTACAGCTATCATTGGACAGTTACCATCTGCAAAAGACTTAGAGACTCTATATCATCTGATTTTTGCCATCTGTGAGGCCAATTTTTAATCTTACAGCTGAGAAAACAAGTTCAGTGAAGTTAAAATATTTACACAAAGGTGCAGAGCTGGTCAGGAATGATGCCCAGATATATCACTCTAAATAAGTATCTCTCTAAAGCCTATGTTTTAACCATGCCATACTTGCCATCAAATAGTGCATTGGAAATAATTACAAGACTATCATTGACATAAAATGGCCTTGAAAAAGGCCACAGGCATTATGTTTCTATCCATGTCATGAAAGATTTTTTGGAGATATCACTGATAGGAAATAAGGTTTAAGAGGTTTAGCACCATTGTTATTTAATTCAAAATCCATATCTAGAAAACAAATGCCTCTGGAAAACAGTGGAAAGTAGCTAAGGTCATATAATTTGTCCCTTCTCTTTCAGTTCAAATCAGAGCTAGACTGCGAATGTCTTCAAGTCATTACCTGGTTTGTCATTTTTTAAGTCAGTGCATCTAAATATCCCTTGTTCTTTATTTATATTATATGAAATTCCCATAAAACATAAATATATAGAAACTATAACCATTTCTTTAAACTACATTATCAGGTAAAAATATTTCTTTATTTAGACTTTATTACTTACATTTAGTTTTTTATACATTTATAGGTCTTCACAAACAGTAACTTAGTCATCATTCCAAAAAGGTATGTGGATTAAAAAAAAGTTAATTACAAGAGAAAGAAACAGATATGCTAAAAAAACCATATTTTGTGACTTCTTCACCTATAATGCAACTAATTATCATTTAGTTCCTATATTCATCTATTTGATGCTGTAACAACAGACACACACTCAGTGGCTTAAAACAACACAAAATGGGGGCGCCTGGGTGGTGCAGTCGGTTAAGCGTCCGACTTCAGCCAGGTCACGATCTCGAGGTCCGTGAGTTCGAGCCCCGCGTCGGGCTCTGGGCTGATGGCTCGGAGCCTGGAGCCTGTTTCCGATTCTGTGTCTCCCTCTCTCTCTGCCCCTCCCCCGTTCATGCTCTGCCTCTCTCTGTCCCAAAAATAAATAAAAAACGTTGAAAAAAAAATTTAAAGTAAAAAAAAAAAACACAAAATGATTATATTACAGTTCTGAATGTCAGAAGTTTGACACATGTCTCAGTGTGCTAAATTTAAGGTCCCAGCAGGGCTGTGTCCCTTTCTAGCAGCACTAGGGGAGAATGTTTCCTTGCCTTTTCCATTTTCTTTGAGGCCACCTGCATTCCTTGGCTCATGGTCCCTTCCTCCTTCAAAGCCAGTATAGAGGGTCAAGTCCTTACATCATATTACTCTGACCTCCTCTATTACATCCCTCTTCCATTTTGAAGGACCCATATGATTACATTGGGCCCACACATATAATCTGGGATAATCTCCCTGTCTTAAGGTCCGTAACTTAATTACATCTGCAAAGTCCTTTTCCAGTGTAACATAACACATTCAGATTCTGGGAATTATGACACTGACATCTTTGGGTGGCCATTTTTCTGCCCATCATAGTTGCCATTTTCTTCAAAGAAAATCAGGATATACCCATAGTAAACTGAGCCTAAATTGGGGGGGGGGGGGGGGTCGGGGGAACATACTAATGGTTTAATTGGAGAATGTAGAACTTGAGATAAAAACCCCTCCTTTCTGGTTTGTCAGATTTTTACTGGCATTGTATTTTGAAGATGAGCCACAATTAGATATGTGGGAACAGGAGAAATCAGTTGCCATTCAAAACCCTGAGAGGAAATAGAACTATCCAAATGACTCTGTTAATTTTTTAATCTGAATAGGAACCAAAAGCTTATTTTGTACTTTTTATCTTTCCACATATTGTTCTGTCCTGCACTCAGGAAACTACCATTCATAGGACAGTCACAGCCTGTATCATATAATTGGATGTTGTATTAATTCAAACTAGAGAAAAGATAACTGGAAAAACTATACTGGAGCATCCTGACCATGAGTTTTTACAAACCTTTACAGTAAAATATCCGAAGGATCATTAGCAGCAATTTTTGCAGGTTATACAGTATATACAGTTAAGAAACCAAACCTCTCCTTTTTGAAAGGCCCAAATTCAAAATGAGGTATCATTACATTATAAGATACTTTTTAATTCCCCAGAACAATGTTCTGTTCAGTGTTTAACTTTTTCAATTTAGCTTTATATCTTTTTTGACTCCAAGATAAAAGAGTGATGTTTGATGTACTGAAATTATAGCCAGCATTTACCAATTCTTTGATTCGACTTTTTAAAGTACTTATGCTTGAATCCAAAATCCGAGGATTTTCAATTATTTGTGATATGCTAATTTTTTCCTCTATGAGGCAGTCTATTTTATCATTAAACTTTTTCTCTCCCAAGAAGACCACATCTGGATAGCTTAAGATAAACCTGTGCACCTCTTCTTCAGTACACCCAAGAGAAAACAGCTTCTCCTTGATATTTGTGTAGTTTCTGCTGACATAGTCATTGGAAAGGTCTAGAATTTTAGCTCCTGGACCACACAGCAGAATGAGCAGCTGCTCATTGTTCAAGTTGAAAGTTGACTGTAAAAACTCAATGTTAGTTTTCACCCGTTTGGTACTCTGAATTAAAATGAAAGGGTTTTTAAAAATTATCTTCCCAACAAAATCTCTGGGCTCATTGTGACCCAGTGACAAACAGACTTCTTGCAAAAGTTCAATCATCTGTTTATTCAGATCTAGACTATTGGAGAAGGTACGTGGGGCATTGGTCAACAATCGACAAAGGCATTTATGGGTCAATCCAACTGAGTAGAGGAACTTGATATTATTTTCTAAGTTTAGGTTGTTTCTGGACCGAAAAAAAGATTCAGGAGAACGTTCCAAGATGTTTATAATTTCAAGGTCTGATGTCATAATTCTTCTCCACAGATCCCACCGTTCTGAAAGACTTTCAGGTGTGCGTGTAATGGCTCGTGGGTATCTTGATATAATGCTAGCAATCACTTCTTTGCTAGCTCCTTTGGATAGAAGGAACATCTTCAGGTCTTGCTCTTTAGTTCCCATCCTATTAAAAACTCCAGGCTGTCTTTTTTTCGCCATGTCAACATCTACTCCCATTTTAAGTAGGTTATTCAGTAGTTCTTCATTCTCTGAAGACTCACTGTCTGTATTACCACACTTCACGCTGTAAAGCCTAAACGAAACTAATTTAAAGAGGATTTTTGCAGGAAACCGGATCATCCAACCTCTTGAACCAAAGAGAAAGTTACCTCTCATACACAAGAAGTTTCTTGGTGCCATAATGGTCAGATATCCCAAACCTTTTGGAATGCTGTATAAAACAACGTACACAATATTATACAAATGCATGTGTTAACCAGCTTAAAACCCATATTATGATCCTATAAGCACCATGGTCTTTTCTCTAAAAAATATCTGTAGCTCCAGCTTTCCTGGTGTTGTTCAGCCTCTGCATTCCCACTCTCTAGGTCACTGCTTCTGATTATCTGTGGGCCTGGAACTGTTTCCGTTCTTAATGTGAAGAAAAGTATAATATCATCATTGCCCCAGAATTATTCCTGCCTTTGTCTTGCTCTTTATATTTGGCCTTGTCTACGTTTGCTACCCAAAAACAGTTGCCCCTCTCTACCTCTGCTTTATCCTGGTTTTCAAACTTTGGTTTATTCCTACTATCCAACGCTTTCAATTCTGCCTTGTCTTTCAACTTCCCAGATTTTTGGCTTGCCTCTGCCCATAGATACCAGACTTCTTTGCCTCTGTTCTCTCTTCCTGGTTCCACAAACTCTAAATATAGCCCTGAAAACCAACTCTTCAGACTAATTTCCACCTTAAACATCTTTTTCTAGATTCAGGGTTCTCTTTAAACCCATGCTATCATTGGTCTTAATTCTTAGCTTTATATGGACCTCTGGTCAACAGTTCCCAATCTCAATCTCCTTCAGTTTACCCTATTGCCCCCTTGGTTGTAACCCAACTACTCCAAACCAATTTTTATCTTCAAAACGATCTACTTGGGCTATTTAATCCACATAGTCCACCGTATGTGGAACTGTGCTGAGAGCACATAAACATTGAAAAGTTACTCTTACCATCTTCCCCCACCCTACATTATAAAAGATGAACCCAGGTCTCTCTGCATCTGTTTCACAACACATAACTTCAGGCAAATGACCAAAACCTTCCTAATCATTTAGAAATGGGGCACAAAATTACAAATTTATATATAATAACCATAGGTCCCTACTAAAATGAGTATTTCCATTTATAGGAAATATTTTATCAGGAAAGCAACAGAAAAATTTTCTTCTGTTATTCAATTTGTCAGATGACTTATGTTCTTAAGCTAATTATGGTCTGAGTCATAACATATTTTTTAAATTGTACTTTCTCTTAATTTAGTTTATTTATTTTGAGAGAGAGAGAGAGAGAGAGAGAGAGAGACAGAGAGCATGAGTAGGGGAGGGGCATAGAGAGAAGGAGAGAGAGAATCCCAAGCAGGATCTGCACTGTCAGCACAGAGCCTGATACAGGGCTCAATCTCACAAACCATGAGCACAAGCTGAGCCGAAATCGAGACTCAGACGTTTAACCAACTGAGCCACCCAGGCATGGCTACTTTTTCCTTTTTAGACTATATAGCTGTGACAAACTTAATTCTTAATTTCTAATTAGTAACAATGGGCTCTTATCACTTAAAGGAGGCATTTCCTTTCTTACCTCTCCTAATTAAACATAAAATAAAAAACAGAGACAGATGGTTCCAACCACCACTAATATCTCTGGGCTTCAGAGATACTGCTTTCAAAGTCAGTATCAAAGAAAGCCTCAGGGCACCTGGGTGGCTCAGTTGGTGGAGTGTCCAGCTTCAGCTCAGGTCATGATCTGTGGTTCATGGGTTCGAGCCCCGCGTCGGTCTCTGCTGACAGTTCAGAGCCTGGAGCCTGCTTCAGGTTCTGTGTCTCCCTCTCTCCCTGCCCCTCCCCTGCTTGTCCTCTGTCTCTCTCTTTCTCTCTCTCTCTCAAAAATATTAAATAAACATTTAAAAATGTTTTTAAAAAAGGTTTTCTGTGTCTACCCTTTTAATTATACCAATTTAACAAGAATTTAAGATTATGTCTACAGGTAGGGAACACTCCTGTATTCACAAGATTCTACAGATGCTCAAAGAATTGGAAAAAGATTCCCAAACTGTAGAAGCAAATAACATTCAAACAAAAATGAAGGACACTCATATAATAAACATCAAACAATGTGAATATTTATTTATTTATTTTTGAGAGAGAAAGAGAGGCAGAGAGACAGAGACAGAGAATCCCAAGCAGGCCCGACACTGTCAGCAAGGAGCCTGACATGGGGCTTGAATTCACAAACTGTGAGATCATGACCTGAGCCAAAATCAAGAGTCAGATGCTTAACCAACTACGCCACCCAGGTGCCCCAACAACAGCATATTTTAGATTGCCCTATGCTTTGAGTTCACTATTCTTTTCTTCTCCATAATACCACATACTACTCTTTAACTACAGACTCTTCCAAAAATGCATGAATTTAGAAACTCAAAAACAAGATCCTCCTTCTAACTAAAGAATGAAGGCTCTACTCGCACAGTTCAACAATCTGTTCTCTCTTTCAGATGCTTAAGGGTGCCCTCCACTGGATAATGGTTCGGAACAGACAGTAGTAGATAAGATCTGTGTTTTGGAATGAGGGGTGCAAGATGATCAAATGGGATACAGGAAGAAAAGAGTAAAACTCCAATTTATATTTGGCTTTGCCTTTAAAAAATTCCACTATAGGGGCGCCTGGGTGGCGCAGCCGGTTAAGCGTCTGACTTCAGCCAGGTCACGATCTCGCGATCCGTGAGTTCGAGCCCCGCGTCGGGCTCTGGGCTGATGGCTCAGAGCCTGGAGCCTGTTTCCGATTCTGTGTCTCCCTCTCTCTCTGCCCCTCGCCCGTTCATGCTCTGTCTCTCTCTGTCCCAAAAATAAATAAACGTTGAAAAAGAAAAAAAAAATTCCACTATATATATATAATATATATATATATATTATATATATAACAGTATGGTAAAATGTGTATAATTAGTAAATATACATACATTGGAAGTACACATGTATAAACCTTTTTTACTGAGAGTGTATACAATCAAAAATCTGAAGACGACCATCTAAACAATAAACTCTTGAAATGATTAGCACCATGACAAACAGGCTGAGCAAGCCACAGAAAGTTCACGAGTAACTGTACTAATGAAAAACTAACAGTGAAAATATATGCCAAATTTCTTAACAAAGGAGTCACAAATCTACTAAGGTTTCTACTGAATCTGTGAAGGTGAATTTTACATCTTGTGTATAATTCGCTCTCCATAGAAATGTCTTTCACAGGAATTAACATGTCTAAAACTAAACTGAACATCTTTCCCAGCCCCCAAACTAGCCCTCTTCTGATTAATGAAATCACTACCACTATCCTGTCACTCGTGATAAAAATCTAAAAGTGATTGCTTCCTCTTCCTCAACCCCCAGTCACTGAATCATGTAGATTTAGCTTCCTCAGTATCTTCTTTAGTATCTCTACACTTTGCTATTCTTTCCCACCCAGACTATAACAGCCACATAACTTGCTTCTCGAACATCAGTCATGCAAAAATGCCACCATAGTATACTTGTCAAACAAAAAAGTGATTACATACCCTATTCCCTGATTAAAGGCCTCTACAGTTCTCTCCTAGAGAGCAAAAATCTTCAGACTGACCTTCAAAACTCTCACCGCACAGGGCGTCTGAGTAGCTCACTTGGTTGAGCATATGACTTAGGCTCAGGTCATGATCTCACAATTGGTGAGTTCAAGCCCTGCATTGGACTCTCCACATTCAGCGCAGAGGCCACTTTAGATCCTGTCTCCCTCTCTCTCTCTGCCCTTCCCCCATGTTCTCTCTCTCAAAAATAAATAAAAATTTAAAAAAATAATAAAAACCTCACCACAGAGTTGCAACTACCTTTCTAGCTGTCTGTTCTATTCTACAACCCCACAACAGGCACTATTGCCTCTCAAACTTCAAATCCTAAACATTCTTCCCCATTCTTGTCTCCCTGCCTTTGTGGAAGCTTTTCTTTCAGAAAGGCCCATTCTCTGGCTAACATTAACAACTCAGGCAACAACAGATGTTGGCAAGGATGTGGAGAAAGAGGATCTCTTCTGCACTGCTGGTGGGAATGCAAACTGGTGCAGCCACTCTGGAAAACAGCATGGAGGTTCCTCAAAAATTAAAAATAGAACTACTCTATGACCCAGCAATTGCACTACTAGGTATTTATCCAAGGGATACAGGTATGCTGTTTCAAAGGGGCACATGCACCCCAATGTTTATAGCAACACCATCAACAATAGCCAAAGTATGGAAAGAAATGTCCATCGACGGATGAATGGATAAAGAAGATGGAGTATTACTCAGCAATCAAAAAGAGTGAAATCTTGCCATGTGCAACTACATGGGTAGAACTAGAGGGTATTATGCTAAGCGAAATTAGTCACAGAAAAGCAACTATCATATGACTTCACTCATATGAGGACTTTAAGACACAGAACAGATGAACACAAGAGAAAGGATGCAAAAATAATATAAAAACAGGGAGGAGGACAAAACACAAGAGCCTCTTCAATATGGAGAACAAACAGAGGGTTACTGGAGGGGCTGTAGGAGGGGGGATGGGGTAAATGGGTAAGGGGTATTAAGGAATCTACTCGTGAAATCGTTGCACTGTATGCTAACTAACTTGGATATAAATTTAAAAAATTAAATAAAATTTTAAAAAATAGAAAAAAAAGGTCCGTTCTCCTAATATCTATCCATAGTATAAGGTTTCATTCAAATACTAGCTCCCACAAATCTTTAACTTGTTAAACAAAAACTTACTGCTTAAGTGAATCATTTGTTTTCTAATAACTTATTACTAAAGAATCTACAAATAATATTCTATTTATAAATTTTAAAAAAGAACCGAACTGGACTTAGAACTGACAACTAAAATTTGGATTTGATTACAATACTATAAATATAATATATTGACTGAAAAAAATGGTATGAGTGGTCTCAGCTAAGACTGAAAACAATGACACCTATTATCAACTGCTGGTGAGCATGTGAGGAAATGCAGGAAATTCTCTGCAAATACCACTGCTAGAAAGGAATTTGGCACCATCCACCATATCCTTTAACCCAGTATTTTCACTGCATTAAGATTATCCAAAGGAAAGGACAAAACACATTTGTTATTAAAAAAGATGACCATCCTAACATTGTTTGCTATAGCAAAAAAGAAGCCCAAATGGCCACCAACAGAATGGTTAATAGTGATATATCTATGTAACATAATACTACACAACCCAGTTTTCTTAAAAAAAAAAAAAAAGGCATAACTAACACAATAGAAAGATATCCAAGATATTCTAAGGGGCAAACTGCATAACTGTATGGATAAAAAATATCACTTATATAAAGGCGGAAGACGTTAATATATACGGGGGGGGGGGGGAAGGTTGATGACTGTTATCTCTGAGAGTTTAAAGGGGTCTATGTACTGTTTCTGAAATTCTGTGATATTATTTAATAAATGTTATTTTGCAACCAGTTATTAAAAACAAATGTGCAACCACATAAATTAAAAACAACTTGATATTCCATAATTAATTTCAACGTCTCTCAATTTGCTGTCTTTAATTAACCAAAACCATTATTCCAAGGGCTAAAGTCCAAAATTAACAAATACACTGAAAACCTCTGTACTCATAACTTGTAAAGCCTAAGGAATAAAAGAGGATATCCGTTCTCCTCTGCTCCACAATTCGCTTGACAAAGGCACTTTTAATGGAGATGGTTAATCAATGCCCCAGGGTACTAATTCTAGATGGTCTTCTTTTGATAAAATAAAGGAAGTTTGGAGATCTTTACAGGTATCCATTTCTCACCTCATTTGTCTTAAAGAGAGAGGACTTTGCATTTCTCCAGGTCTAGAAAACAGCTGTCCCTAAAAATGGCAAATAAATAAATAAGCGGGGGGGGGGGGGGGGGGACAAAATATTGTCAGCACTTCGTAATACAGAATAAAGAAATCGATCCCAGCTAACACTGCATAACGTTCTTGTGAAATGAGTAACCTCTTACCTACTAGGCATCTCTCTCAGAGATGTGAGAAGAAAACGGCGAGGACACGCCTGAGTATTAATGTGAGAAAGCTGCGTAATCACGAATATGATTTGTAAAACCAGGGCTAAGGGCTTCACGTACAGGGTCTGTCTTCAACCCCACAACTTAAAAGGCATTATTCCTAAAATTTAAAAATCGGGAAAAGGCCAAGCTCTCTCACAAGTTCTTATTAGCTAAATGAAGCTAATTCCACGAGTTCCATTCCATGGATTCTGCCCCTCTGCCTCCCCAAAAATCAACTCCCCCAGGGGTGGCGAGGAATGAAGACTCCACCGTACATCAGTATCACCCAACCCCGCTTCTAAAAAGAAAAGGTACAGGCCCAGCTAGCCACAGACCTCAAACTGGACAGTACCAATATTCGCCAGATGCCTTTACTTCCGGGTCTGGGGAGGGAACTAAAGAGCGGAAATGAACAGGCTAACTTCCGGTCGCGCACAGGTGACGTCGCCTTCCTTGCGCCCCCCGGCGGCCGCGTGGCGTAAACCCAAAGAGAAGAGCACGGCAGGGGGCAGCACGAGACCGTGGTGAGTGCTGGGGACAAGCCTTCTGGCTGATTTGGGAGGCGGAACCCGAGACTTCCCCGACGTCCTTGCCAGAGGCCAAGCTGGCTGCAGGGATGTATTGCCTGCCAGCGACTTGCAGTGGGAAAGTCGCTATCATGTAGATGAACTGCAGCATGATAGGGTGATTACGCTTATTAACATGATTAACAAGTGCGGGTCAATATCTCGGCGTTTGATGCCAGAAGACTTGTGCGATCCGGGGCTCCTAAAGAGTCTCAGGTGCTCATTCTTTCTTGAGGTACCTTGGAAATCCTGGATTGTGTCTTCTAGTGCGAATTCAGTTTAGGCTTTCAGGCTAGGAAGCAGTTTTCATATACTTCTATGCAGCACGAGTTACCTATGCTTCTTCTGAAATTGTGACTAATTTAGGCTATTATTTCAACAGAAATTAATAATAATAATAATAATAATAATAATAAAGTTTCAACAGAAGCTTAATCTCCACAGCAGATGCATTTTTGCCATTTTTGAAGGCATCGCCTTAAACCTTCCTAGTCCTGTCAATCCCACTTGCCTGGGGATAGTAGCATTGGAGATTAAGCTTCAATTCAAAGCAATTCTGTTGCCTCCAAAAGACCTAGCTTAATGAAATAATCATCCAGCCACTAAGTTATATCTTCCCGAGGAAGTGATTTGGTCTTTAGAAAAACAGAAAGTGGGGGAGAGGGTTGATCCTGAATTCTACTGCATGGAAGAATTTGCTGCTTTACCCTACTCTATGTAGCAGCATATGATAGATTTTTCTTTATCCCATTTCTGTGCTAATTAATGTTTTATCCTCACTCTATCCCTTGGATTACTCTTAGTTGGTATGTTGTCAATTTTTTTTAAATTAATTTTGTTTTATTGGTTTATAAGGGTAAAGATTTACCTCTGGGACTTTACCAATAATCAATCTTTCTAGTTAAGTGAAATTACTTACCGCTGTCCCTCCAGATATAAAGTAGTCCCGAAATGTTAGAAATAGTCTCTTTAACACTCCTTATTAAGGACAACAAACTAAGGGTAGATGGGGGCGTGGGGGAGACGGGAAAGTGGGTGATGGGCAGGAAGGAGGGCACTTGTTGGGATGAGCACTGGGTGTTGTATGGAAACCAATTTGACAATAAATTATATTTTTTAAAAAAAGAAATAGTCTATGTGAGTTTCTAAAATCTATTTCTGCATGGAAGGAGCTCTCATATTTGAGTTAATATTTACTGTTATATATAAGTATATAGTTATATGCATAAATATTGTATTTTTAAGCTACTTTACAATCAATGTAAAACAATAACATCTTTTTTAGAAATCTTTAAACTTCAGACTTTAAGAAGACTTGAAATTATGAATCTCCCATGAATCCTCTCATTTTGCAGATATGAGATATTGAAACACAGTAGAAGTGAGCAAGAGAATACATGTGTTATACCTCCTTAACCAGTAAGTATTCTATGACTTATACTACATGCACTTACATATACTACCAAAGGTTATTTCATACTTACTTAGGCAATGTCACTTATGTTTGTTTTAAGTGATGTCTTGTAGGTAAAGGAGATTGGTTCTTTTGAAAAATAAGTGCCATATTTCCTATCCAAAGTTTTCTGATTACAAATATATTTTAAATGCATATTGTAAAGCACTAAGAAGAGTAGGAACAAAAGTATAATGATTGCTGGGTTAGGATGGTGTATTATCAATTTTTCCCCCTCTCAGATTTCTGCAAAGAGGTTTAGTATTTAATGATTTGTGAAATGTTGTCATTACCTCCAGTAAGAGCAGTGACTACTACCTCATTGTCATTAGTGGTGTATTACAGTATAACCTATATGTACCTTGCCTGTATTTCATTCATTGGTTCAGTAAACATTAACTGAACACCTGTACATATCAGGCCTTGTTTTCAGGATGGGGGTGGCATATAGTGGAAAACAAGACAAAACCCCTGCCCTCCTGGGCCTCACTCTCAGCCTGAGTGTCTGAAGCTCTACATGCTTCCCCCACTTCACCACCCCCCAAGACCATAGCTGATCCATCCCCTACCATGTTGATGTAATTAAGAAGAAAGGGTGGTTGTAAACACTGGTGGCCTCTCTGTGTGGTAGAAAACCAGAGGCAGGGAGTAAGCAGTGATGAAGAAACAGAATAAAAGGGATAAGTAGTTGCAACATGGTAGAGGGGAGTTTTTCCTAGTGTCACCCACTTGGGGTCCATGGGCTCTCTAAACAGTAGAAATTAACTAGAGGCCAAAGGGGAGCTCCAGGCAAAGCTTTTATTGAGGCTTATTCTGGAGCACAAGGGAGACAACACAAAGGAAAGAATCTTTCAGGCTGATTCCCCTAACATAGGCCAGGGAAACTTTTTAAAGAGAGGGAAAGAAGTGACATTGAAGCATGTAAAGCCAGGGATTTCTTGGCGCTTGCACATTTAAAGATTTTGCTTCTTCATGTGTTGCACATCTAATTAGCATGTTAAATCTCTACCCATGTTAAATCATTAGAATGATTTTTAGTATTGTAACGAGGGGGAAATTTGGTGAAAAGTCAGAAGTAAGGTCCACATGGGCCAGACTAGTTTGGTTCCATCTTCCCCAGTGTTTATAGTTCAGCCTCTCCTTTACATAATCATTCTGCTTCCACAATCCTCCCAGATATGCTACTCAAGAAACAGAGTGTCAGCTATCAAGGAAAGCTAGATTTCATGGTCAGGGGTGAGGAGCCCAAGTCAGTCCCTACTCTGTCTTACTATAAGCAGTTCTACAGTTATCATCTTTCAGAGTTTTTTATAGTCTAAAGTAATTCAAGTTTTAAGTTAAATTTGTTTTGTTACATATTTCTTTTAAAATTTCCTTCTCTTAAAGTATGGTAATATTAGATGGTATATGTGTTTTTAAATGACTTGAGAAAAGAAGAAGTTGCCAAGTCTGTATTGGAGCATCTCCTCTCCCTTTTTTTTCATCCAAAAGCCTGTTGCAGGGGAAAGCTAGACTCTGGAGCCCTCCCTCCCAGAATGGGACTTAAGACACTCGGGATGAGCTCGAAGTCAAGTCTGGACTCCTGCTGTATTCAGAAGCACCTCTGCCCTTTTATAACTAAAGATTTTTTTTTTTACCTTGACCAAAGTGCCTGTATGCCCTGCTCTGCCCAGGCAGTGTCCTTAGTTTTTCATGCAAATAGACTTTCCACAAACACAGCCCCTTGGTTGACCACTCATGTTTGAATCTCAGCAAGACCCAATTAAGGTCAGAACAGATGTAGCCCTTCAGTGCTCCACCCTCCACCCACTACAGCAATACCCAGACTCCTAGATTCAGTAGACAAATGCCATCCCCACCCCACAACAGCTTCCTAGACAGACCTACCAGCTTCCTACCAGTGTAGCTTGAAGGCCCTCAGAGGAACATCAAGTCTCTTCTTCCATTCTCTTGCCAGAGGTCATTTTGTATGCTTATGAAAACACATGAAAAGGCTACAGATTGCTTACTGCTGAGTAAAGCAGTAGGTAAAGTTACCCTGATAATCACAGGTTAACACTCTTTCTGTTTGTAAGCAACCAAAATAAAAAAAAAAAACATAAACAAAAACAAAACAAAAAACTTAGTTTAATCCCCTCCACCCCTTTTTCAAAACAGTTGCTTTTTAACAACCTTGGATTTCTTTTGAAATCTAAAGATTTGACTGTTGGCAACTTACTTTCTCTGAAATGTGTCTAACTGGGGTCTAGAGAGACTTCTTGAGTCAGCCTTCCTCCTCCCACACTCATTACCACAAGGGTCTGTGGCAAGGAACTGGATACTTAGCCTGGCAAATTTGCTGATTCCAGACACGATATGATCCTGGATTCCCACAGTAGCTAGAGTGCCACCATCAGCAGGACAGAGTTGGCCAAGTGAAACACAGTAATAATTTGAGATCCCATTCAGCCTCAATTCCATTCAGCCTGGTGAGTTTAAGTACCTTGTGGTTGTCTGATCTTATAGTACCATGCTTTCAATTCAATTTCGATTCTTAATCACTGGTGGAAAATAGTGATCTTACCACAGAGGAGGGGAGTAAATATTCACAAAATAGAATAAGATCTTCCTTGTCCAAAACTGTCTCACTTCCTCTTTACAGTATTTCTTGAAATTCCACCTTTAGAAATTTATTCCTTGGTATTTGTAGCATGGTGATTTTAAATGCTAAACATATGTTCTAAATTTAATTTTTATTGATTTGAGAGAGAGAGAGCATGCACATTTGAGTGGGGGAACAGAGAGAGAGAGAGAGAGAGAGAGAGAGAGAGAGAGAGAGAGAGAGAATTGCAAGCCGGCTCCACACTCAGCACAGAGCCCAATGCAGGACTCAATCCCATGACCTGGGATCATGACCTGAGCCAAAATCAAGAGTAAGATACTCAACTGCCTGAGCCACCCAGGTGCCCCTAAATCCTAAACATATTTGAAAGTGTAAATAAATTAAGCCAATAGTCAGCAAGCTTTTTCTATAAAGGGCCAGATAGTAAATATTTTAGGTTTTATGGATCATATACCAGCTTTTTTGCACATTCTTCTTTTTTCTTTCTTTTTTCACAGCTCTTTAAAAAATGTAAAAACTGTTAGCTCAAAGGGTACCTGGCCACTGGTCATAATCTGCTGACACCTACATTAAACTATGTTAATAGTATTTAAAAACATCATATAACACTATCTGCCAGATACTATTCTAATCATTTCACCTGTATTACTCCATTTAAATCTATGATGGAAATAATATTATCTTCATTTTATGCATGAGGAAACTGAAATAGAGGCTAAGTTGCCTAAGCTCACACAGCTAATAAGTAAGTAGAACCTAAGAAGTCCACTCCAGAGTGTGTAATTGTAATTGCAATGCTATGCTGACACCCAGAGAAACAATATTTAGTTCACTGTAGAAACTATAAAAATAGAAATATTTTTCTATAGAAAATAGAAAAAGAGGGCAAAAAAATTCACCCATAATTCTGTCACCTAGAAATAATCACTATTTACATTTTGTTTATATTCTCCCAGAATACTCCTAAACATAAAATTCTTTTCTTTATTCAGCCTACGAGGTAGGTATAATTAATACATGAGGAAACTGAAGCTTAGATGGATTAAGTGACTTTTTCAAGATCATAAAGGTAATATGTGTGTGGAACTAGGATTTCAACCGAGGTTGTTGCTTCCAGAACCTGTGCTCTTAACCCCTGGCCTAGACTGTTCTTGAGTTTATGCTTACTTGTCACATTTAACAAGACCTTTTCCTTCTCATATTTATAAAAAAGTCACTCATATTTTCTTCCAGTACTTAATTATTTTTCTTGTTTTTCCTTTAAATCTTTGAGTCATCTGTATTTTTTTTAATGGTTATTTATTTTGAGAGAGAGTGCATGTGCACATGAGCAGGGGAGGGGCAGAGAGATAGGGAGAGAGAATCTCAAGCAGGCTCCATGCTGTCATCACAAAGCCCAATATAGGGCTCAAACTGCCAAACCATGAGATCATGACTTGAGCTGAAATCAAGAGTCGGATGCTTGGGGCGCCTGGGTGGCGCAGTCGGTTAAGCGTCCGACTTCAGCCAGGTCACGATCTCGCGGTCCGTGAGTTCGAGCCCCGCGTCAGGCTCTGGGCTGATGGCTCAGAGCCTGGAGCCTGTTTCCGATTCTGTGTCTCCCTCTCTCTCTGCCCCTCCCCCGTTCATGCTCTGTCTCTCTCTGTCCCAAAAATAAATAAACGTTGAAAAAAAATTAAAAAAAAAAAAAAAGAGTTGGATGCTTAACTGACTGAGCCACCCTGGTGCCCCAAGTCATCTGTATTTTATTTTGTAATAAGAAGCAAGGTAGAGATTCAGTTCTGTTTTTTTTCCAAGTTGGTAGTCAATTGTTACAACATCATTTAATGTGTACTTTCTTTGCCCACTGCTTTGAAATGCGTCTTTATCATATACTAAATTACAAAGTAATCAATTTTGAATGACTGCATTCCATTTTTGGAAGAGATTTCTCAAAGTTTTGTTGTGATGATCTAACTTAAGGGTTGATATGAAGAAAGGAAAGTAGATTTCAGCCTGGTGTTATGAGAATTTTTCTTTATGGATGATTTATCCCTTAAAAAAAATAAATACCAAGAATCCAGATGAGCATATTTAGCTCCAACTCTACAGCTCTTATACAAGTATGAAAAGTGGAAACTCAGCTTGAAGGAATATTGATGATTATCTTGTCCAACCCCCAAATTTATAGGTAAGGAAATAGATACAATGTGGTAAAAGATTACTTTTCTAATAAATAATAGTGTCTATATACTACATAGACTTCTTTCAAATGCAAGCAAATACAATTCAAATACAACTCAACTAATTCAAGTAAAAAATGGGGGAAATTTTTTTATCTTATAACATGAGAGGAAAAGGGGCAGAGATTTCCTCAGGCATTAC